ATGTCTAAAATATTAGCAATTGATAGATGGCCAACACTGATATGCGGTTTAGGGGAAGATGGGGGATGTACCTCTAAACCGGATAGGTATTTGGAGGAGATAGGGGATGTACTCCGTAGACAGAGCTCATATGCTTGTCTAGAGAAGTGAAGATAGAGCTTATATGCTTATCTTTGTGATGTGTGGATATAGCTTATATGCTTATCTGTGAATGTAGGATATTGTTGTTATACATATCTGTTGAGAATGTGGATAGAGCTTATATGCCTAATCTGTTGAAAAAGGGAAAATGAAAAGTAACTTGGACTCATAAGTCGTATGACATAAATATGTGATTTATGTGAATGTATCAGTGTTGGCCATCTATCAATTGCTAATCTTTTAGTCATTATTCATGGTTGGTTTAGTGTATCTCTACTGGGCTGTGGCTCACCCTATATGGGAATATCATTTTCAGGTACAGGTAGCATGCCACCTCCAAGGACATAGCTTGGGAGGCTAGAGGCGGACACACTTTTATTGTCTTATTTTTTTTGATGTATTACATGTAAATTCAAGCTAAGGGCTTAATGTGTAAATGAGTTAGTAATCTCTTGTTGTAATCAAGTGTTAACTTGGAAAGCTGTAAGCCTTTAGGGCATTTGTTTTTGTTGTTAACATGTAATGCTTTTTGGTAAAGAAACTCTGATGAATAGAAGAATGTGGAACTTTTTATATCAATGCATGTCTATATTGATGGGTTTAATGTTGTTATTTTGAGGGCGTTACAAATCCAATATCGAACCAAGAGTCATCCTCGAGGTGACAACCTGTGTCTTTTCTCTTAGACAATTTGATTGAAGGTCACTTAGCCTAATCCAGGTCTGTTCCTTACAATCATTAAGCACTAGAATCATCATAGCCCAACCCGAATTTGTTTCTTAGTGGCCAAAGTCATCACACATAGTGGAATAAATTCCCTAAACTTCTATACATAGATAGTCCCAATAATCAATACAATTTAGTTTCGCAAAATATGGTAGTTCACCATTATAAACATGACATCATAACAAATAGTTTACAATATGCCAAGTTTACCCATGTTTTAGAAATAACTCAGTTCCAATAATATAATAATAATTTAACCAAGGTTGTTTGACCACGAAACAACAATTTACTTTTCAAATAATTTTAAGAAAATGGAACATTTACAAAAATACATAGCATGTAAATACTCACCTGAAAAATGGAATAAAATAATCTTTTAATAGAGTATAAAAGTCCAAATAGTACCCTGAACAAAATATTAAAAATTACGTGTCATTACTAATTCCAAAAAAACTAAAAGTAATAATAAATTAACCCCAAGTTAAAGTGCACTAATACGGCTCAACCTAACTCTCCGTTACTTGAATAATACCTAAATTCATGTTCTTGAAAGTCCAAAATTAACCAAGACATTGGTTCCGATTGAAACTTAATTAAGTGACGCTTTAAGGTAAAAATATAATTTTATATAGATTTTTCTAAACTGTTTGCTAACTTTGAAAATTAAAAACCTACTCTACGCCGTTCAAAAATTTCAAAACTCTCCAAATATCAACTACTATATCCCAAGTTTCAAACCCAATTGGTTTCACTCGATTTTCTTATCGAAAGAATTAGTTGCAATTAATTTTACCCAATTGGTTTCATGCATGTATGAATTTTGACTTCCAAAAACTATAAGAAAATTCTGGCATGAAATTTAATATGTAATTAAGTTGCTGTAAAAATTTCAGCTTAAAATTCATTTGTTTAATATGGTTTCTTAATTTTTAAAGTTTGCAGTTTTGTGCAAAATTTTTGGACTAAAGAATTACACCCATTCTTTACTCATCAATTTATCTCCTCAGATTTCTTAACAGTATATATATATAATACAAACATATACAACCTCTCCATCTATGAATTAAATAATAATAGATTAATGATTAAAGAACAAAAACAAAAGGAAGAGATAGAGACCTACCACATACTCAAAAATTCTTACTTGGTTGCAACTTTTTTTTTTTTTTTTTTTTTGCTTTTCTCTCAACCTCTCTCACGTTACTGCTACTGCTGCTGCTATAGTATTGTTAGGCCTAGGGTTATTTTATATATCTAAACAAAACTGTAAATAAATCTCAGAAAATATATTTATAATTTATCCTAAATTAAAAGATTACATTATTTTAATAGGGAACAAAAAAAAACTAAACAATTTCATTTTTTTAAATGCAAGCAGTATAGATTGAAGAGATAACTTAAAAAAAATTAATTTAAAAAAAAAAAGAAGCAAAAGGCATTGTGACATAACATAATTGAAAAAAAAAAAATACATTAATCAAGGATGATGCACAATAAGAAGTTGAGAACAGAATTTTAAAAAAAAGAGAAGAAAAGTAAGTTGAAACGGTGCCGTTTAAGGCATTGCAGGTAGCACAGCTAGGAAGGTCACAGCAGTGACCCCCCATCCTATGTGACAACCTCATATTTGGTAAAGAAATCCCCAAATTGAAACAAGGACAACGTGAGATGTGGAGAAACTCTAGAATCAAGTGCTTGACATTATCGTCTTTCCAATTTCAAAATCTTCTGATCATTTTCCACATTCGTGATTTGGAGGGAATATGAGAGATTTGTTGAATCAAAATATGTTTCATCCAAATATATTGCCACATTTTTTATTTTCTAACAGCGTGAAACGCTAATACTAGTGGACAAGCGACGAATTGTTAGTAGGCGTCTCTGTTTCTAGTTTGTGATTATCAAATCATGTCTTCTATCATGGCTGAAAAACATAAAGTACTCCAATTCTGTTACTTTCGTTTTTGTTGCGGTTACCACCAATGTAAGGTGGTGGCGCGAGGTGGATGCCAAAGGTGATCATTGACGATGGTGACTAATGATAGTGATAACTAGTTGTGGTGGTAAAAAGATGTGGGAAAAAGTAATAATAACAATAATAATAATAACTAAATTAACAAATGAAATTTATTTTTTGTGGTTATAAGAATTTTAAAATTTTTCTAAACTGCTTATAATTTTTTTAAAATGAAATAAATGTCAAACGAGCTCTTCTTTACAATTTTAAAATATCTATAAATATAATTAAAAAACTATAAATATGAATATTACTAAACAGACCCTAATCATTATTATTCTTGCCAAGGACTATAAAGCCATTATTCTATGAGTTAAAAAAAAGAAAAAGATAAAAAAAAGAGACTAAAGCCAGAGTTTTTACACCAACAAGATCTTACCAACACAATGGAAAACTTGTGACCCCACATCTTATTTAGAAAATAAATAATAAATAAAATAAAAGAAGAAATACAGAAAGAACAGCTAAAGCAAATACTGTGCAACTGAAATTTGCCAGATTTGTGAAGCATGTGTAACTGCTTACTTCAATAACAATTCCACAAACACATGTTATTTTATTTGTTGTGTTGTTACTTCCAACAATAATCCAATTATATGAAGAAACTGCAAAAGACATCAAGTATTCACAGCTAATAGAAGCATCTCTTTCACATTCACAGCAATGATTGGCTGATTAACTTCTTCCACCTTCCAAGCTTCTCTCTTCCCTGCAAAGAATGTTTTGTGTTTAGAGCTCTTTTAACATATAATGGAATGAAGACATGATCTCCTTGTATAAATTTATAATTTCCAGTTTCTTCTGTTTTTTTTTTCTAAACGTTAAAATAATTATAAAAATAAAAAATAATAAAATTGCGGGAAAAAATGGAAGAAAGAAAGATGAAGGCAGCAAAAAAGCCGATAGAAGTATCTAGCTTGATTCACAGGATAAATATGAAGATTACAATACCGGATTAAATTAAGAAGCCCATTTTTGTTGGATCGACAAACATGGGGTCGACCCATGTGAAAGAGAGGATTTCGTGAGAATCCATGTTCACTTTTAAGTTTGGATACCTATTAAAATAGCCAAAAAGTCACTACTAAAAAGTCAACTATTCTTTACTTTTTTTGTACATTTTTTTTTGTAAAAAGTCAAAAAACTAACTAAAATAACTAGTTCCCAAAACAACAGTAGGGAAACTATATTTTTGTGAAACATAGAGACTACATAAGAGTCAATGAACTCTAATGCTGTGTTTTGGTTGGGGGATTTGGGGAGGGATTTGGAAAGGGAAAGGAAAAAAGTGTATGAAACTATGTGAAATATAGGCATGATTTATTCACATTTCACCTACCTTTTCCATTTCCTTTCCAAATCTCTTCCCAAATCTCCCAACCAAACACAGCATAAAAGGAGCTTGAAAGTTTTATTCACTGTTATACAAGTATCTTATTTGCGTTAATTGATCCACATAATCTTTAGCGCAATTTAGGGCATGTAATAATGTACTCATCAGTTTTCATTTTGCACCATCAATAAAAACTAAATAACAGCTACTGGAAAACCAACAAGACCAACAAATTAATAACACTAAAATGCAAAATGGAAAAAATAATAATAATAATAAATAAATAAAAAGAAAGTAAGAAGAATAAAAATTTGAAGAAAGGCAAGAACAAAGAAAAGAACAAAAAAATATACGAAAACAAAAAGCATCAATGAAATTTTTGCCCATTTATTTGTTTGAAAGAAACAGGTACAAGATGCCCAAAAAGAAAACACATATAGGAAATTGGGTCCAGGCAATGGTGGCAAAAGTGAACTGCATTAGGTTTTCAAAAATGGGGTTTTGTATCCTAGTTAATGGGCACATCCAGTTCTAACTAGCTCAGAAGGTCTTCAACAATGGGCCCTACACTCTGCCCTTCAGTTGATTAATATCCAGGTCAATACATGGAACAAAGGGATCAACAAGGCTATATTTATTTTGCATGTGGTAATATGCTGATCACACAATCATTTTTTCTGACCGAGGTGAAATAGACAGTATAACTTAAATGTGCCTGGTTATTTTTAGGTCGTCTCAGGTTTGGAAGGAAATCAAGAGAAGTATTGATAAAAATAGTGTTGAGGAGAGCTATGTTCCTCTTTTTTTTGTTTTTGTGCCAGGAGGGTTCTATGATAATTTCCTAATTGGGAATATACTCACGGTAGTAAACAGATGGAAGGAAAATTGGCATAGTATAAATCACAGTAGTTGTCAGGGAAGGAAGGTAAATTTGATATGAAGGAAGCTCACCCAGTGTCTTTCTACAAATTTATTTCAGTTTTCAGGATTCCAGGTGTAACTTCAAGTCTGAGGACAGCCACTTTGTGCATTTATGTCAAATGTTAGGTATGTACTCAATCTAACCCCTACCAAACACCCAGTAATGGATACAAATTGGGCATGTTTTTTTCAGGATTCCAGGGAAGAGACGGAAAGGATAGAGAAGAAAGATGGGATAGAGTATGAAATGAGAGCAGACTTTAATATTATACATTATTTGCAAATGAGAATTGGCAGAGGCACAGGGATTTTTTTACAGAACTTTCGCCACATAATGGTTCTGAACATATGCTGCTAAAAGTGGCCATTTGTGGAGGCATATGGTAAAAAAAATGGGTTTGCATGAAGAATGTGCTAATAATGCCAGCGTTCAGAAGGCTGTGAAAAAAGGGTTCAGAAGGCTGGCAGTATATTCATGAACATCTAATGTTTGTTCCAAGGATCGTAGTAGAGTTTTGTTTCAGCATGAAATTTGGTTCCGAAAAGTGACCTTAAACCTTTCTTCCGAAATCTTTCCAACACAATCTAAATAGATGGCTTCTTTTGCAGATTTTCATTTTAGGAACGAGGAAGGTTTAGAACCCAATGTTTAATAGGGTGGTGCAGAATTAAGAGATGGAATCAATAGGGTTTATTCTTTAACGTGTTCTATGGAGCTTGTATAGGTTCTTGACCGTCAATCCTGGAAATAATTGCATCCAGATAGGTGGAATCGAGGTGGGCAACATAATTAACTGGATGAAAGATATATTGGTAAATCGTCACATGAAATTCTGTTTTACTCCTTCTGTAGTTCGGGGATTGGAGGAGTTATGATAAAATCTTAAAGGGATAATTCAGTTAAAAGGGGTAGTCTAATTCTGAATTAGTGATCATGCATGCATAAAAGCAACGGGAAACCTTGAATTGATCATTGCTGCAGAGCCTGATGGTTGATGAATTAAAGGCCGTTTTGTTTCATCATACGAGATGTGTTGGGAACATTAGTCTTCAGGAGCTTTTCAAGAAGGGCATGGGAGTTGATGAGATGTAGGAAGCAAATGTGGAGAACAGCACCGGCAAGTCTTTCATATTGTTTTGGAAGAAGTGCTACTGATCTAGTTTTTTTATTTTATTTATTGAAGTGTTAATGTTAGGCGTTTTTATTTGTTTATTTATTTGTTTTATTCTGTTGAAGTGTTGATGTTATGTGGGTGTTTTTTTGGGTCTTTCCCACTGTTAAAAATGTTTTTTACACTTCTTTTTTGGGGGGCTTAGTTTTCTCTTCCTTCTTTTTTTCATTTCAATTGCAATACTTCGGATCTTTCATTTTATAAAATCTGGCCCAAAAAAGTGGCACGGAAGCCCAATTTTTGCGTAAATTGTAAATGTTGAGGGCCATAATTTCTGTAAAATGTAGAGACCCAAATAGTGATAGCACAATTTTCAAATATCCCACCCAACCTGCTGATGTGAAACTGCCAAAATAACTCAACCGACCCGCCGGATTCCAAGACCAGTGATTCGGCAGGAGGTTGCAAATTATCCCACCCACCATGGGCTGTTTGGTTGTGCGTATTACACGGTCTTGGGTAGAACTCAATCCCAAAAGCTAGTAGTTGAGGTGAGGGTGCCCTCACGCTTACATACTTAACATTACTTTAGTACTTACACGATGTGGGACTTTGCTTCACAGTGCAAACCTACCAAACCCGCACTGCACCAACCAGTGCACACCCCTAACTGTGGTGGTCATAAATATCTCATCGCTTAATTGTGGTAATTATTCCACTCCATTATCCCGGATGTTGTACTGTGCTTGCAAATAAATCATTTAAATCTTGAATTCTAACCTATCATGTTAGGTAGTTCGACCATAAAACTCCTTTGCTTCTGTATTTTTCAAAATTCAAACCATGACCAACAGGCAAGGTCTATTTCACGAGTTGCCCTTTAATGCCAACTCCATGATGCCTTGCATCTGTAGTGACCTTTGGAGTACTCAATCAAGGCCTTTGCAAGTGCCTATGAGTGTGGCATCGAGATTCTAAGTCAATGGTTAAACGAACTAATGTGACCAGGAGGATGGCCATAAGTAGCCCAAGGCATGCACACCGAAGCAGTGGCAACAGCATGCACAGTGCTGCCTGTGCGCCTGCACATAAAGCAGCCAGGTGGGAAAGTTCTGTTGAATCTTTGACATAAGGTTTCAAGGGTCAAACGATGGAGTTTTGATTTTTAATTTTTATTGGGAACTCATGAGGATATGTAGTTTCCCATTCTTGAAGATGTTCAGTTGTGTTGAAGGGAAATATTATTCACCCAAAAAAGGTGAAGGGAAATATTGCACTTGTACTTATTTCCTTATTAATATAATACATGTGGTTAGACAGGAAAAACCTAATTTTGGTTTGTGCCTCCTTTTCTAGCAAATCTCTTGTTTCTTCTTGTCTTATCTTCCTCTCTCAACTCCTAAACTTCATCATACAGTTTTAACTTGGTATTAGAGCAAGTATCTTCTTTTTGTTCTTTTTCTTTCTTTTTTTTTTTCTTTCTCTTATGGTCTTTGTTTTTTTGGGTCGTTTCTTGTATTTTTCTTGATCCCCCCCCCCTCCCCAAGAAAAAAAAATTAACACTATGATCAACTAGGGTACGAGAATTATCATAAAAAATTTCAAATTTTTTTTTTCTTTTTGGTTGTTTATTTTTTCGATTTTTCTTTATTTTTTGGAAAAATGGGTCCAATTTTTTGATTTCTTGATTCTATTAGAGTTTTGTTCAATTCAAAAAATGGGTCCAATTTTTTGATTTCTTGATTCTATTAGAGTTTTGTTCAATTCATCTCTTGGTCCACATACTATGGGTGCTGACCAGATGGTTCTAGGCCACCCTTGGCTTCGGTTGTTGATTCTAGATGGTTTTTGATCGCTTTTTGGTCTCACAGTGCTGTCAGCCTTCTTCCAGACCGTGTGTTTTGCTTTTCTGCTCCAGCATATCTATTTTTGGACATATTTTGATGGTGTTGTTGGGCTGCTTATATTGGGAAATCATCTTCTTTTGACAGGTTCTTCCGATTGGTTGCATTTGTCTTGCTTTTTGGGTGTGCCAACATTGTCTTAGGCCATGGTAGATGACGACAAGACCTCTACAAGCAACGAAGTGAAAGGTTCAAGTCCAAATGCTCGTCTCGACGATCACTCCTCTCTTCAACTTACTCCTGTCAAGTTGGAAGGCTCCAATTACCTGGTTTGGTCCCGTTCTTTTTAGTTGGCCATTATTGCTCATGGCATGTCTGGTAACGTAACAGGAGTTACCAAGGCTCTTGAGGAGGATAGACCAACCAGATAGAAATGGAATAAAGAAAATGCTCTAGTCATGACATGGCTAATCAACTCTATACATCCTAGTATTAGCCACTCTTTTGTTTTGATGGATACTGCTCATGAGATCTAGACTGTCGCTGCTCAAATGTATTCACAACGTGGTAATGATGCACAGGCCTATGAGTTAAGGAAAAAAATACAAGGATTTGATCAGAAGGATAGGTCCCTTGCAGAATACTATGCTGAGTTGAGTAGTTTATGGCAAGAGCTCGATTATTATCAGAACTTCCAGGAATAATTTGATTAGAACGATAGGAATAATTTTCATAGTGATGCTTGTGAGTTCATAAAACATAAACGTTCTTGTTATCCTTCCATTAATAAGAAGTCTTTTTCTTTTTATGGTTATTCATTATGATGTATGGGGTCTCTCTCGTGTTAT